GTGATGATGGTGATGGTGATGATGGTGATGATGGTGATGGTGATGATGGTGGTGGTGGTGGTGGTGATGGTAGTGATGGTGGTGGTGGTGGTGATGGTGGTGATGGTGATGGTGGTGGTGATGGTGATGGTGGTGGTGGTGGTGGTGATGATGGTGGTGATGATGGTGATGGTGATGATGGTGATGATGGTGATGGTGATGATGGTGGTGGTGGTGGTGGTGATGGTGGTGGTGGTGGTGGTGGTGGTGATGGTGATGGTGGTGATGGTGGTGGTGATGGTGGTGATGGTGGTGGTGATGGTGATGGTGGTGATGATGGTGGTGATGATAATGTTGGTGATGGTGATGATGATGGTGATGGTGATGATGATGGTGATGATGGTGATGATGATGGTGGTGATGGTGGTGGTGATGGTGATGATGGTGATGATGGTGGTGATGATAATGTTGGTGATGGTGATGATGATGGTGATGGTGATGATGATGGTGATGATGGTGATGATGATGGTGGTGATGGTGGTGGTGATGGTGATGATGGTGATGGTGGTGGTGATGGTGATGGTGGTGATGATGGTGGTGATGATGATGTTGGTGATGGTGATGATGATGGTGATGGTGATGATGATGGTGATGATGGTGATGATGATGGTGGTGATGGTGGTGGTGATGGTGATGATGGTGATGGTGGTGGTGATGGTGATGGTGGTGATGATGGTGGTGATGGTGATGGTGGTGATGGTGATGGTGGTGGTGATGGTGATGGTGGTGGTGATGGTGATGGTTATGGTGATAGTGTTAATAATGATAATATAACAGAACAACAGAAAGGGGTGCTGTGCCAGGCACCTGGCATGAGGCAGCATCACGGACCCTGGGTTCCTAGAGGCCTGAGGGGTCCCCGCTCCTCTCAGTGTTGCAGCTGGAGCCACATTTAACCTTGGAAAAGCTGCTCTAGCCCTTCGTGGCCGGTAGCAGCTCAGGAGCCCACCTCCACGCTGCCACGTCCCGCCCTTCATGGTGAATCCATTCATCCCACCCCACCTGGAGTGTGATGCTAGCGGCGAAGTTTCAGACCCTGTGAGGGGCAGTGGAGGCAAACTTTTGGAGCAGGCAATACCCTTGTCCTGAGATCTGCCCCAGAAAGGCTGCCCTGTGAGGGGCTGGCCCTCCCCCTGCCAGTAGATGAGGAGGTGGCCTTGCCCGCTGCAGGGGGACCTCTGCCTCTGTCTGCTCCGGGCTCCCTGGTCTCTCTGAAGACTGGGGCCTGGCTCCGCACCGGGAGCCACCAAATAATCATCTCCAAAGCTGCCTCCCCTCCTCCTGCAGGCCAGCTCTGCCAGGTCATTAGCCCTGCCCCAGGTCACCTGCCGCCGGAGGGCCTGGCTTGTCTGGGGGCTGCAGGGAAGTCAGGGCTGAGACGCCCCAGGGCACATGGCCCCAGCATCCCAGATATACTCACACCCGTCAGAGGAGGCCTGGCATCCACCCTGCTGGGGCCTCAGCTTCTCCACCTGCAGAATGAAGGGGCCCAGTCAGGGTGGCCTGAGTTCTTACATTTGCAGGGGAATTCAGTGACGTATTAAACATGAAGGGACATTGATGACATCCACTGAACACCGAGCTCTCCCCATTTTCCTGAAAATATGGCCCCCCTGGGTTTTCCTCGGCTTTTCAAAACAGAGAAAGGAGCACATGAACCCGTTCCCTTTCCTCTTCATTCCAGAAAACGGCCGTGTGATGAGGCAAGGAGCCGCCGGGCTCAGGGTGACAGCGGACAGCCCCTCCACCCTCCCCTGTGGCCAGGCGGCCGTGCCGGGAGGCTTGCAGTGACATTTCCCAACTGCTAGGTGCTGGCAGCTACCGAAGGACGGAGCCCTGTGAACACCAGCGGGTTTGTCTGCAGGCTTGCGGGGCACCAGGTGCTGACCTCCGGCCGGACATGGCCGTGTCTGGTGGGCTCTCTGGCTGAGCAGGGCCCCCAATGCCCACTAGAGTTGCCCAGTGCCCAGCAGGGTGTTGGCACTCATGATGTTTGTTGGCGTAGGGGGGTTGAGGGGCCTGGGTTGGCAGCACTCTGATGATGATGATGGTGATGATGATGGTGGTGATGGTGATGATGATGGTGATGGTGATGGTGATGAGGATGGGGATGATGATGGTGGTGATGATGATGGAGATGGTGGTGGTGGTGATGATGGTGGTGATGATGGTGATGATGATGATGATGGTGATGGTGATGATGATGGTGATGATGGTGGCGGTGGTGATGGTGGTGGTGATGATGGTGGTGTTGATGATGGTGGTGGTGGTGATGATGGTGGTGATGGTGGTGGTGATGATGATGGTGATGGTGGTGGTGGTGATGATGGTGGTGTTGATGATGGTGATGATGATGGTGGTGGTGGTGATGATGGTGGTGATGGTGGTGGTGGTGATGATGATGGTGATGGTGGTGATGATGATGGTGATGATGGTGATGGTGGTGATGATGATGGTGATGATGGTGATGATGATGATGATGGTGATGGTGATGATGATGGTGATGGTGACAGTGGTGGTGATGATGATGGTGATGATGGTGATGGTGGTGATGATGATGGTGATGATGGTGATGATGGTGATGATGATGGTGATGATGGTGATGATGATGATGGTGGTGATGGTGATGATGGTGGTGATGATGATGATGGTGACGGTGGTGGTGGCGATGCCCCACATCCTGCTCGGGCTCCAGGTCAAGGTTCCAGAACCCAGGACCAGCCTGGTCAGACTCCATTCAGTGGCACTCAATTTCGGCCGTCTCCCTGTACACCCGAGGTGCTGGGAACATGTCCCCGCCCGCCAGGAGGCTCCTGCTGTGACAGGACAGAGACGAGGGCAGAGCCCCATGCTGGGCAGGAGGTGTGAAGAGCAAGGCCCCCGCAGGCAGGTGGGAGGGTGTGCTGAGTCAGGGCAGGCTGGCACGGGGAGCGCTGCCCCGAGACCAGACGGGAGAGGTGTCTGTTGGCCCACAGCGCCGGGCCACGCTCGCCCCCTCCCACTGCGGGATCCAGGAAGGACACGCATCTCTACCTCCTTCTGCAAAGGCTGCTCCGAGCTGTTGGGTGACGTGCTAGAGATCACCCAGCTCGGGGTGCCAGCAGGGTGGGAGCCCAGCCCCGTGACAGCCCGTCCCTCCAGCCGGCCATGCACGTCTCCAGGGCCAGGGACACTTGCCAGTGGGTTTGGGCTCAGGCTGGCACCCCCACACCCCAGCAGTGGGTTCTGAGGCCAGATGTCACCGAACTCCTCATCTGTCTGGACAGGTCTACTGATCACACACCCCAGACACTGTCAGCTGCCTGTCCTCGCCTGTCCCCATGGGCACACATGGACATTTGTAAACATGACCAGATGCCGACTCTCAGCCCGATGGGGTTGTCGCAATGCAACGAACTGCAAGCAGACAAGGCTTGGAGTGAGGGGGAGCATCGCAAGGGAGCAAATGCTCCTGATCTCTGACGCAGCCCGATTTATTCTCTTAGCTGTTCCCCAGGTTACATGGTGTTTTAGGTAATTAAGTCCTGGAGATCGCGTCTCTGCTGACCCTTCAGCCAAGCCCAGCATCCCTCCTGTTCCAGCAGCCGCCGCTGTTCTCAGCAGAGACACAGAACACACACACTCCTACTTGGGCCATAAACCCCACTGGCGCTTTCGGGGCAGTGTTTCACCCCATCATGCAGACCTTGTCTGTTCTCAGGGATACTTTGGTCCTGGGCTGGCCAGGCCCTGAGGATGCACACCTCAAGGTTACGTTTTGTTCATCCACCAAATCCCCGACCCTACAACCAGGAGGTTCTACACCCAAAATGTCTCCCCCTTCTGGGTCCAAAGAGTTTTGGCGATTTCTTTTTTTTTTTTTTTTTTAAAAATGTACTTTGAACTGATTTTTTTAGAGAGAGTGGAAGGGAGAAAGAGATAGACACATTGATGTGAGAGGGGCCGGGGTGGGGAGCCCTCAGCCTCAGGCCCAGCTCACTGGGCCTGCATTTCCCAGCACCCGCCGTGTTGACCGGCTTAGAGTCTCTTCTTTCTTTAAAAAAATTCTTTTCTTTATTACTGTTAGAGAGAGGAACAGAGAGATAGAAACATTGATGAGAGAGAACACTGATGAGCGAGAACATGGGCATGCCGCCTCCCGCACGCCCCCTACTGGGGATCGAGCCCGCAACCCAGGCACGTGCCCTGACCGAGAATTGAACCGGGACCTCTCAGTCCATGGGACAGTGGTCAATCCACTGAGCCTCACTGGATGGGCGGTGATTTCTCTTTTCAGGAGGGTTTGGAGGTCTTGACAATGACCGTGAACTGTGTTTTTCTTAAAGCCAAAGAGCATGGCTCCAGTTCCAGCTCTCCGTGCAGCTCCTTCTCCAGAGGGAAAGCCCCGGGGCCAACGCCCGCTGAGGGAGGCGGCTTGCGGGGCCGGGCAGGGGTCTGGGGGAGGACGAGCAAAGGGTTCCGGGAAGAGGGGATGTTGGGAGCGAGAGCTGGGCAAGAACCTCCTCCAGGCAGCAGGGTGTCCAGGACAGCTGGTCGGGGTGGGGGGTGGGGGTGTGTGTGGAGCTGGAAGGCAGGGCACCTCCGGCCCTTCGGCAGTGAAACCCCTTTGAGGTGCGTTTGGTGGGGAAGCAGCGCCACCTGGCGGCCACTGAGAAGACTGCCCGGGAAGGCCCTGGTTGCAGCCACCTGGGGTCCTGGGACCTGCGGTGAGGCAGGGCAGGGTCCTCTACAACCCTTTACCTTAGTGTGTGCCGTACAGGGACAGCCCCCGTGTGGGCTTCAGGTCACCTCTCTTCACGTCTCCCCTATCCTGGAGGCTCCCTCGTGCTTCCCTGGTCCTCCAAAGGCTCCCCAGGGAGGTCAGGACCAGGGCTGTCACTGCCCCTGAGCAAGTGAGCTGGGGGAGGGTCCCCCCGGTCTGGGGAGCGCTCGGCGAGGGTGGGGGCTGGGCGGCCGGGACCCTACACGGCACTCATGGGCAGGGCCAGCCCCCCAGCGCCCGGCCGGCCCTCGGCCCCCAGGGCCCTCCGGAGGACGGCGCGCAGCGGCTGCCGGCGTCCGGGCTGCCGGCCGGCCGAGAAGTAGATGAGCGGCTTGGCGCTGGCGTGCACGCCGGCCAGGAGGGCGGCCAGCGGCGGGAACACGGGCAGCAGGAAGTCCAGGAGGGGCCGCAGGCTCCAGTAGAGGACGAGGGGCAGGCCGCAGAACAGGAGCAGCAGCAGGGAGCCCAGCGCGGCGCCGTAGAAGCGGGGCCGCGGGCGCCGGGAGCAGCAGGCCACCCAGAGGAAGAGGACGAGCCCGGCGCCGCAGGCCCCGCACGCCCCGGCCAGCAGCCAGGCGATGCTGGCCGCGTGGTAGCGCAGGCAGGCGCCCGGGTGCAGGCCGCCGCGCAGCAGCCCGCAGGCGTCGGCGGGCACCAGCACGGCCGGCAGGCTCAGCGCCCACAGCAGGCCGCACACGACGCCCGACGCGTGTCTGGGGCGCCAGCTCCCGTGGCAGGTGGGGAAGACCTCAGACGCGCAGAGGTCCAGGCTGAAGGCCGCCAGCAGCCAGAGCCCCGCGGCAAAGCCCAGGAAGGTGACCACGAAGTAGAGGGTGTTCTGGGAGCCCAGGGCGGCCTGGACGATGGCGAAGGCCACCTGGCAGCCGAGGAACAGGAAGTCGGCGGCCGCCAGGTGCAGGACGTAGACGGAGAACGGGCCCTTCTTGATGTGCCAGCCCAGGTGCCAGAGCACCAGCCCGTTCCCCACCAGGCCCCCGAGGCCCACGGCCAGAGTGAGGTAGAAAAGCACCCTGGTGAAGGTTCTCCACAGCCCGAACATCGTGCCGGCCGGCCGTCGGGAGGGGCCTGGAAGGAAGCCACAGAGCTGCTGGCACTGTCCGTCCACCTCCCGGGAAGGCAGGGTGGTCCCCCGCCTCGCAGGGGGTCCTCCCTGAGACCACACGTCCCGGGACTTCCTGGCCCTGCAGCCCCCCCGGGCAGCAGTAAGGGGAGCGCCCGGCACAGTGTGCTCAGTGCTCGGAGACCATGACTGACCAGGTGGGTGCCCCCCGCGCACCAAAGGTTCATGGGCCCCGGGCGGAGGTTGGTGGACGGGCAGCTCTGCAGGCAAGAGGGACACCCATGGGGACCACACGTATGGGCCCCCTCCCTCCTCCAGCAGCGACCCTGCAGGTGTGGGTGCTTTGGGGACAGGTCGCAGGGCCCCGGGGTGCTCTGGGGGAAGGTCTGACAGAAGTGCTTGCTCTCGGCCGCCTGGGAGAGGCCCAGGGCCTGGTTCCAGTCCAGGCTGGAGGCCTGACGTCCTTCCAGGAGAGACAACTGGCCACAAGGCGTCGGGCTGGGGCAGCGCAGGGGTCTCCGCAGCCCCCGCCTTTCCTGAGCCCCTCCCCCGGGCCTACACCGCTCCTTGTTCTCAGCTGAGGGGCCATCAGGACTTTGGTGCTGACGCCAGGGGTGTGGGGGGGCCAATGAGGGTGACCAAGAGACAGACACAGACAGAGAGAGACAGAGAGACAAAGAGAGACAGAGACAGAGAGAGACAGAGATAGAGAGACAGAGACAAAGACAGAGAGACAGAGACAGAGAGAGACAGAGACAGAGAGAGACAGAGACAGAGACAGAGAGACAGAGACAAAGACAGAGAGACAGAGAGAGACAGAGATAGAGAGAGACAGACAGAGACAAAGACAGAGAGACAGAGACAGAGAGAGACAGAGATAGAGACAGAGAGAGAGAAACAGAGAGACAGAGAGAGAGAAACAGAGAGACAGAGACAAAGACAGAGAGACAGAGACAGAGAGAGACAGAGATAGAGAGAGACAGACATAGAGATGGAGAGTGGGAGACAGACAGACAGAGCCCACCTGATACACACAGGGGACCCCTGGCCACCTCTGCCGCTGCGCCCCCACTGAGCACCCTTGCCCCCTCCCATTTACCTGGGCCCCCCCTGTGAGGCCCTGGACTGCACATTGGGCCCTGAGCACCCGGCCCGGAAAGCACCCCAAGGGTCCTCACTGGCGCCTTTCTCGGGGGGGGGCGCCGTGCCCCCTCGGCCTGGCCGCTGGGCGCACAGTGGGCCTCTCTCGGGGCCCAGTGGGCCGTGCTGGCCTCTGCTGCCCTCCCCTCTCTGGGCCTCCGTTTTCCCCGGGTACCCGGAGGAAGCTGACGAGACTCCTAGGCTTCTGGGGAAGGTGGAGGGTCTGCCCTCGGAGGCGGTGAGGGGTGGGTGGGGAGATGGCCATCAGAGGTCTCGGGTGGCACCTGCCCTGTCCCAGAGAAGGACCCAGAGCCCTGGCTTTAAAACTGCCCCTCAGCCAGCGTCCCCCATGCCCACTCCCGTCCCGAGATGTCCTTCCCCATGGAAGCCAGACTGCCTCAGGGGTGCCAGAGCTGACCTGGGGTGCAGGGCTGCTCCTGGCCGGAGCAGATGGTCCGGGCGGAGGGGCCGAGCCTTGTCGCCTGCTGCGGGGTGGCTGCCTGACCGGCTGGGGCGGCTGCAGGCACCTCCCGGGCCTTAAATCCTCTCGTGTCCCCTGAGCCAGCTGGTTGGACCGTGGGCAACGGGCCAGTTCCCTGGAAATGGGAGGAGCTCAGACGGGCTGCCCCGGTGTGGGCTGGCCCTTCCCTCCCCCCAGCACCCTGGACTCCAGGTTCAGGAGTGAGCAGGTCCCCCAGTTCGCGGGCTGGGCCACCACCCCGGTGGTTCCCCTGCGTGTCCCTCGCTCCGGGCCCTTGGTTTGCTGTGGGGATGTGTGTGAGCCGGGGCTGTGGGCAGGACTGACCCCTCTGGGCCTCAGGCCCCCCTCCTTGGACGGTCCATTCATGGACACTCGGCGCCTGGCTGGGGCTGGGTCCCAGGAGGGGTCCCGGGTCGGTGCTGCGGTGGGTGGTCTGCAGAGGTTGACACGCCCTATCCAAGACCACCTCCCCCTCCCGTCCACCTGCCAGCCTGCCTGACCCCCGCGTCCCGGTGTCCACGGGCCCCGTGGGCTTCTCCCGACTTCATCTGCAGAGCTCCGTACCCTGCCCCGTCTCCGATGAGGGGTTCCCGTCCGGGACCCCAGAGCTCGTCAGCGCCCCAAAGGAGAAATGATGTCCTAGAGGTGCCGGCTGTCCTCATCTGTCTCACTTCAACAAGTGGCCACAGAGCGAGGGTCCTTGGGCACAACCCGACTCCAGGCTGCGGCTGAGGGTCCCGCCCTTGGCCTAAGAAGGCGAACGGCCTGCGTGTCCAGGCCCGGCGCCCGCTCCTCCTGCCCGCGCCCCGGGATCCCGCGGCGTGCCGGGGGCGCCCCTGCTGCCCCCCACTGCCATGCCCGGGCCTCCTGCCCACGCCCGGGATCCCGCAGCGTGCTGGGGGCGCCCCTGCTGCCCCCCACTGCCATGCCCGCTCCTCCTGCCGGCGCCCCGGGATCCCGCAGCGTGCTGGGGGCGCCCCTGCTGCCCCCCACTGCCATGCCCGGGCCTCCTGCCCACCAGGCTCTCAGCACCTCGAGAGAAGCATCGCTCTGGGGTGTGGGCCGCAACGCCGGCCGTGAGCACCGGTGTGATGTGTCCCGTGGGCTGTGTGGGCCCCTGGACCTGGGAGGGTGGGGAGAAAGGTCTTTGCAGGAGGAAGTGAGGGTTCTGAGATGCAATCATCTCGGGGTTCCCAGGAGGGCCCGACACCTGGGACGAGTGTCCTCCTGAGAGAAAGGAGCGGGGGACTCGCTGACAGGCGCCCATGCGAGGATGGGGACAGAGGATGGAGGAATGTGGTCACAAGCCCAGGGGCGCCGGGAGCCCCAGAGGCCGGAGGAGCCGGAGGAGCCTCCCCCAGAGCTCTCACGGGGAGCACAGGCCCCCCCTTGATTTCAGACCTGCAGCCTTCAGAACGGGGGACGTGGGTGTGCGTGTCCTTGGCTGCAGCCGCCCTAGGTCGCTCTGTCTCACGCTGAGCTGGTGTCTCAGCCCTCCTGCCCACGGGGGAGCGGGACCAGCGCGTGGGGGCCGGGCCAACCCCCGGGCGCGACGAGGGCTCCAGCCGGGCCATCCTTCCTGTGCTTCCGCAGAGGTGTCCGAGCTGCCTCCGGGGTGGGTGACGGCCGCACACGGGGCGGGCTGGTGGTGCACCCCTGTGACCCACAGGAGGGCCGTGTCCCCGAGACCGGCCTACGTCCAGCTCCGTGGCCTCGGGCAGGTCCATGTGCCACTCGGGCCCTGAGTTCCCAGTCTGTGGGTGTGGGCAGCAGTTTTCTCACACCTTGGGGGTGTCATGGGGACCCAGTGGGGAGCACAGGTTTGGGGGACTGAGGAGACGTGAACAGGACAGGCGGGTACATGAGGTCCTGGTGTGAACCCCTGTCCACTGGTTTCCTCGGCCATCGTCCCATCCGAGCTCAAAATCCACCCAGAGTGGGGTCAGTAGGTTACCCAGGCCCCCAGGCGAGATGGGGGTGGGGACGAGAGGAGGTGCCCAGCCTCCCCCAGGAGAGATGGGGGTGGGGACGAGAGGAGGTGCCCAGCCCCCCCAGGAGAGATGGGGGTGAGGACGAGAGGAGGTGCCCAGCCCCCCCAGGAGAGATGGGGGTGGGGACGAGAGGAGGTGCCCAGCCCCCCAGGAGAGATGGGGGTGAGGACGAGAGGAGGTGCCCAGCCCCCCCCAGGAGAGATGGGGGTGAGGACGAGAGGAGGTGCCCAGCCCCCCAGGAGAGATGGGCTTGGGGACGAGAGGAGGTGCCCAGCCCCCCAGGCGAGATGGGGGTGGGGACGAGAGGAGGTGCCCAGCCCCCCAGGCGAGATGGGGGTGGGGACGAGAGGAGGTGCCCCACGCCCTGGCAGCGGGGTGTCCCAGCTCCACGCCCCGCAGCGGGCCTGCCTGTGAGAAGACCAGTGTCACGGGCCCCCAGGGGGAGCTGGACGGAGGCCGAGGGAGGGCGGTGTGGGCAGGAGCCCATCCTGGGAAGGGCTGGTGCAGGCGGGTGAGCAGGCTTGGAGTGGGCTGGTTGGAACAGCTTCAGGGGCTCTGGGGGCAGGGTTGTCCCTGGTGGTCTGGGGCCTGCCCTGGGTGACCGGCCCGCGCACGCCAGGAGGACCACCCAGGGAGTCAGAGGGCGAGGGTTCTGCTTGGGCTGGTTTGTGTCTGCCCAGCGGCCCGGGCAGGGGTCTTGTCTGCAGGCATGGGTCACCCTGGAGGGAGTCCCGCCCGGGCAGCGAGCCCAGGCCTCAGCACAGCAGAGGACAGAACATCAGAGCCGGTCGGCGGTGTGGCTCCGCGGCCGAGCATCAACCCTGCACCGAGAGGTCGCCGGTTTGATTCCCGGTCAGGGCACAGGCCCAGGTTGTGGGCCCGATTCCCAGTGGGGGGCGTGCAGGAGGCAGCCAGTCGATGTTCTCTCTCATCCATGTTTCCATCTCTCCCTTCCTCTCTCTAAAATCAACAAAGGAAAATTAAAAAAAGAAAGAAGCAAATCCGAGCTGGTCAACATGGCGGGTGCCGGGAACTGTGGGGTGAGGAAGGCCGGCCGGAGGCTGAGGGCTCCCCGCCAGCCCCTCGCTCCCAGGCTAGGGTCATGCCTGGCCCCTGCCCAGGGGCTGCCTGCCACCTCCTGCCACCAGCAGGACGGAGGGCCCGAGTGGACCCTGGCCTGGGGCCTCGGGCTCCCGGAGCCTCGGTTCCCCCTTGTGAGGTTGACGGGACCCCGTGAGGGTTCCGCTGGGCCCGGGCCGGGCGCAGGGCAGCCCGTTGAGCTGCCTCATTCCTGCGGCCGCAGCTGCCAGGCTGTGAGCGTCTGAGGGAACCCGGCTGTCCTGGGAAAACGCCCCTTTCCGAATGCAAAGGGCCTCAGCCCGGTCGGAGGAGCCCACGCAGCTCCGGGTGCAGGCGGCCGAGCGCCCCGCCCTCACCCCCAGGGACAGCCCGCCGCACCAGCCCCGACAGGGAAGGTGCTGGGGCTCTGGGAGAACTGGGCTGTGCCGGGAACAGCGGACAGCACTGGGTGGACGTCATGCTTCAGGCTGGACGTTTCGGTTGTTTTCCAACGTCTGAGGTCACGAGATAGCGGAGGCATGAGCCGGGCTTCGCCCAGCGGGAAGCAGGCAGTTACAACGTGCAGCGCAGGTCGGTGGGGGACGGGACACCTCCCTTGGCCCCCGGTCTCGTGTCCGCAAACACACAGGCCTGGGGTCCAAGCCAAACTCCCCGCAGGCCCCACACCCTTCCTGGGAACGCTGGCTGTCCGCAGTGATGGCTGATCCAGGGGCCACTGTCCTGGCTGAACTGCCCCAGGCCGTCCTGGGTCTGCAGGGGCTCGGCGGGCACAGGCTCTGGCCCTGGGGCGGCCTCCTTGGATCCTGAGCTCCTCCCCTCCTGCCCTGAGCCAGGTGAGGTCCCAGGGAGGGAGGCCTCAGCCATGCACAGGGAGGTCTCAGGGGCTGAAGCTGGCCAGGGGTCCATGGTGGGTCCCTCATACCTCTGGGGGCAAAACATGCAGCCACGTGAGGTCAGAGGGGTGCAGGCAGGCAGGGAGGTCTCTGGGACCACGGGAAGGGGGTCTAAGCAGGAAGGTCGTGGCAGAGAGAACACCGCCTTCATCCGCCACACACCTGCAGCCACACCTCGGCCGAGCGGGGTTGGGTTCGGTTTCCATAGAGACCCCAGAGGACTCTGCATTTCCGGGGCTCCGCGGGGAAGGTGCCCGCTGCATGGGGCTGATAGGAGGGATGGAGAGACCCCCTCACCCCTGGAGACAGGGTGGACGGTCTGGGAAGGGGCCAGCTCCTGAGGGTTGTCGACCTGGGTCTGCCCCGGAGGAGGCAAAGGGATCCTGGGGTGGGAAGGTCTGGTGGCCACGGTGGGGCTTGGAGCGCCTGACCCAGCCTTGTGCAGCCTGGTGCAGGGAGCAGGTCCGAGGGGTCCCTCTCCCGGTGGTCTTGAGTGGTCGCTCGACCCTCAGACCCTGTCTTGTCTGCGAGGGGGGCGGCTCCCCATCCCTGACAGGACTTCCTGTGGGACCCGCGTGCCGAGTGGGAAGGACCGACTCATCAGTTGTGTTTTTCTGCTGTGTGCTCCCTTGCTTTGGAGGAAGTTTACATCCGGGGGCTGAAAATAGCCCTCGAGACCACTTCTCCTTCTGGGTCTGGTTCCTCGAACTGAGGAACTGAGGGTGACAGTTGTGTCCTGGAGGTGGGGGCGGGGGAGGTCCTGGCGGGGCATCCCCGGGGCTCCCCGCCACCAGGAGCCCTGCACCCAAACCTGCCTGATGCTGGAGCCCAGCACCGCGCATGCGGGCAGGGACCAGGAGGTGGGGCCTCGGACCCAGGACCCCTCGTGCTGGGCATGCGCCTGGACCCTCACCCGGATTGGGGAGTCACAGGTGAGACCATGGCAGAGACCAGATGTCCCTCCATCTCTGAGGCCACAGGGTTCACAGAGACTGGAGAGAACTGTCCTTCTCAGACATCTGGCCTGTGGGTGGCTCACACGGTGGCCG